GAAGACAGCAATATGTAATGTAGCAGCCACTGTCAATTCCTATCATTTTATCCGGAAACCATGTATCATTTTTGTTGTTTTTGCTTTGTTTTGGTTTTGTCTCTTGTCAGTATTTTGCTATTGTTATTTTTTTATTATTCTCTTAAAAAAAAAAAGAAGGAAGAGACAGAATACATAAGAAAACTAAGCTTCCTAACTCTAGTATTTCTATGCTGCTCATTAGAAAACCATGTCCTAAAGAATGACCTTGTCTATGACCCTTCATTTTCTTTCCTGGTTTATGGAGCTGAAAAGCTAAGACTGTTGGCAGTAATGGAGGTAAACAGAAGCACTCTCCCACCATACACTTTAGTCTTCTGTCCTTTTTGCTCAAGGGTGACCATAGGGTTTTAGGGTGTCTTGAACTGAAATTTGGTTTGGAGGTATGGGGTGCATTTCAGAAAGAAAGAAAAAAACATGGAAAATTAAGAAGGGAAGGCTTAGTTCAGAGAGAAATATTAACTAGTTAGCTAAGAGTAGAGCTGGTAATATTTGTTGATGAAGTAGGTGTGGCAACAGGAGAAAAGGGACTTAAGGTAATCACCAGTTTTCAGAATGAGTTTATTCACTCAGATGCAGAATATAGAATGGAGAATATATTTGGGCAATAAAATGTCTTTTGGGCATCATGTTAAATCTACATGAGGTAGAATATTCCTATGAAGATGCTCAAAAGACAGTTGGTATACTGCTCAAATGTTCAGTAAAGAGCCTAGATCATTTATTTCCTTGTCTGATAACTAAACTACTTACTCTTCATGGCCCAACTCAAAATTTATTCTTACTAACCCAAACAAGCAGAATAATATATAATGGTTGTTTCCAGCATATTTTATACTACTTCTGATAAAATGCTCATCATAGTTTGTCATTTCTGTTTTCATGTTTCATCCTAGATCATGACTGATTCAGCCTTACATCTTTAATAGCACAGCCCATAATATTTATTCAAATGAAATTAATAAACATAGCAAATAGAATGTTCTGGGAATTTGGTAATATGTATGATATTTAAGGTAATGGGCAATTGGTAGCTTAGGAACTAGCCAACACTCCCAGTCACGGGTTTTCTTTTGGTTCTTGGACAAGCAAACCAAATCCCGTATTAGATCACTGTACTTTCCTTCTGACATTTTATTGCTGCACATCTTTCTCTTTTATTCCTTGTTTTCATACACTGTCCTCAGAGAGGCACTCCAATCTGAAGGAATGCCGCTCCACCTAGGATTTTGTATCTTACCACCCTGTTTTGTTTTCTTTTTTCTTTTTTTTTCCCAGTACCGGGAATCGAACTCATGACCTCGCACTTGCCAGTCAGGTGCAGTGCAGCTGATCTAAATCCCCAGTCCCTGCTTTGTTTTCTTTATAGCATGATTCACCATCTGATTTACTTATTTCCTTATCATCTATCATCTACTCCATACAATATTAGTTCCATGAGAGCAGAGAACTGCCTCATGCACTGTCAGATCCCTTAGGCTTTGATCAAGGCCCTCAGTAAATATCTGTTGAATGAGTAAATGAAGTAGGTCCCCAAGGGAAAGAGAGTTTGCTATGAATATTTGCAAAAATATCTTTTTATTTACTCTAATTTGGATTTTTGCATTGGGAAATAAAGACTAATGTGATTTACCACATTTGTGGGATTTTTCTCTCTACCCTGTTTTCTCACTTTAGCGAATCCTGAGGCATACACTCAAGAATCCTGCCGTCCTTTATTTTCACAGCTGAGTTTTTGTAATTAAAACCTCCAAAATGATAGACTGAATTCCTTCTAGGATCTTTTTGTTGTAGATTTTATCTTATTTAATACTTCCCATGAATAAGAACAAAATAAATACGTATGACATTATTGCAGGATGAAGAATCTCCTCTGCAATAGTAGGAAATCAGAACATATGAAGGAGCCATATGGGGTACAATTGTTGCCGCCTCAAGAAAGATGTGACCAAGGCTCTGTAACACCCTGACTGCACAGTTTGTAAATGGCCTAGTTAAGTTTGGACTCAAACTGTGTTACCCATTTTAAACTCTGTTAAATTTCTTAGTACTTTAATAGACTTGATAGGGTGAATCCATTTACTGTGACAAAAAGATTACCTTCAAGTTGGTCTTTTACTTTAAGTAAGTAATATTTCTTCTTTAATGAGTCTAACACAAGAGGGATATAGTTTATTACCTATGGATGAGATTAAAGAAAAAGAGGACTCCGAAGCACCTGGGGTTCTAAGAGAACCACGAACACAGACATTCATCAGTATCTTTAGGGGACTGGTTCCTTGTACCCTGTGGATAAAATCCACAGCCTCTCAAATCCCTTCTATGAAACTAGTATTTACACATAACATACACTTTAAATCATGTTGAGAGTACTTATAATACCTCTAATACTATGCAAATACTATGCAAATAGTTGTTATACTGTTTTGGCTAGGAAATAACAGGAAAGACGCCTGTACATGTTCAAGATGCAATTTTTTTTTTTTTTTTTTTGTCTTTTTGAGACAAGGTCTCACTGTGCAGTTCAGGCTGGCCTTGAGCTCACTTTGTAGCCCAGGCTGGCCTCAAACTCACAACAATCCTCCTACCTCAGCCTCCCGAGTGCTGGGATTACAGGGGTGCACCACATGCCAGGTTCAAGAAGAATTTTTAAAGGTACATTTTTCAACCCAAAATTGGTTGAATCTGCAGATGCAAAAACCTGTGGCTACAGAAGCCTAACTGTACATGTGCATTCTGGGATACTGTAGACATTGGGGAGTTGTTCAAATAAATCATTAGGATCAAAAAGCAGTTTTAGATGATGTGTGCCTTTTCAAAAATAGATCAGAACATTTAATAAATTTAAATTGAATAACTTGAAAATATTTCTTCCTAAGCTACATGAGTATAAATATTTTAATAATTTTGAAATTAGTATTCAAGGAGATTGGCAATCATGGTAGTAGCTATTAAAGATTAATGTTTGAAAATCAATGGTAAAAGGATATTACTTTTCAAATTGTATTTGTTTGTACATTTTTCTAAGTCCTTCAGTATTTGTATTCTTTCTTTTCTGCACTAGAGCAGTACCATTCTTGTCTGTCACCTTTTTCTTTGTATGATATTCCATTCCCACCTTTTTAGGAAAGTTAAAATCTATGCCAGCAATAGTTCTTTATATTTGTCTCCATCTTTCTCACTCCATTCTTCAAAGATCTCTTGAGATTTGGGGGAATCTATGTGCCACTTAATTTTGCTGTAGG